ATCCTGGCCAAACAAACCAAAGAATAGGCCAATGAACACAACATGCATGCCAGAAAACAAACAAAACCCCTGATTTGGGCCACACAATGGCCTTGGTAAGGAAGATAGATCACACAGCAGTGTACAAATCTAAGGGTTCTTTTCTTGTACATTTTATGACCTTCATCCGTTGGGATGTTGCAATAGCACCACAAAACAAACCTCAAGAGGGTGATTGGGATGGAGTGTATGTGTGCTGCTTATTATACGGCTACTTGGCAAATGAGTAAACATGAAACATTAATTTGAGTTTAAATGACTTTTATTAGTGTGATACTGTATAATTATATATCAGTTATACAGCTTAGCCATTGTGGGGCTGTGCGATTCGGTAACACCAGAATATTGACCAATTCTCACTATTAACTAGTTGCTTATTAGCATGCCTGTTGGCTGTTTATTAGTACTTATAAAGCTAATATTCTGCATGGCCATATTCTACAATACCTAAACTTAACAACTACCTTACTAACTATTAATAAGCAGCAAATTAGGAGTTTGTTGAGGCAGAAGTCGTAGTTAATGGTTTGTTAATAGCAACAACTGGACCTTAAAATAAAGTGTGACCTGTGATTCATTGTATTTTAGCTTCAGCTATTTTGGCTTCCAACAATAATGTAAGTACGATAATCAAGATAAAACGATTCATGTGCCGCACTGCATCCAAATCAGTCAAATTATGTAATGTGACTGTCAAAAAACTGCAGTCTACACTCTTAAAAATAAAGGTGCTTCAAAAGTTTCTTCAAGCGATGCCATAGAAGAACCATTTTTGGTTCCGCAAAGAACCATTTAGTCAAAGGTTCTTTAAAGAACCATCTCTTTCTTACCTTTTTATAATCTGAAGAACCTTCTTTCGACACAAAGAACCTTTTGTGAAACAGAAAGGTTCTTCAGATGTTAAAGGTTCTTTATGGAACCATTTAGACAAAAAGGTTCTTCTATGGCATCGTGAAGCGCCTTTATTTTTAAGAGTGTAGTGTGTGATGTGCTTGATATCAAAAGAGTTAAAAAGATGAAATATATTTAGATTAAATTAGATTAAATATATTTATTCAGTTTTAAAGTGACAGCAGCCTAATATACTTGCTGCAAAAGAACAAGAAATAAATCACTCACTGCTCTTGACTGAATAACTTTAGTAGCTTTAATAAGACTAAATGTGTATTTAATTCATACAGTGAAAACTATGGAGTGTTTTACTTTTACATTTAGTAGGTTTTTAACTGAATACTGTACTGTTAGTTTGACTCGCACAAAAAATGTAAAGAATTGTTTATTTTATTTGTATTTTTTCTATTGTATTTGTTCTATTCTTTGTCATTTTATTATTCTTAAATTATTAATGACTTTTTACTTGTCTTCTATAATTGTTTCAGGACTTTTTTTACATGACACTTACATTAGTTAGCCTAGCATTAGTCTCCGCTATGGTAACTGGTGTGTGTGTGTGTGTGTGTATATATATAAGATGCACATAATTGGTGTGCATGCGCGATCAAAATAAAAATACGATGGGTTCATACCGCTCATTTGCGTACTCACATGTTTAACAGCTGTTAATACACAATCACCGTTTTAGATCGACTAACTGTAATACTGTATAAGATTTCCATTTGAACTGAAAGTATAAATCTAGGCTACTGTATGCGCTGCCGTTTTGCTCATAGCAAAATGCAAAACTGTGACATTTCATTTCATTCACTGACATGCAACCCGCCAAAATAAAAGCTTGAAAACATAAAAATAATAAATAATAACATTATGAAAAAAAAACTTATGGACTCACATAAGCATGAAAAAAAGTGATTTTTTTTTTATTTATTTCGTGGTGTTTGTGAAAAAGCTATTGTTAATGTGAAAGAACTGTTGGTAATTTTGTTGCAACACAGTAGATAAAAACAGGATGATGCAAAAACTCACTAAGTACTGTATGTAACAAGCTTGGCCTTGTGTTGACTCGACTTTGCCCTCGGCTAGAACACTTATAAGCTCTCTATTCTGAAGCTGAATGTCTGTGTAAAGTCACATCCATTTAACAGGGTGTGGAATAATAATGGGCATGACATCATTTGTGTTGTAATGATTAATACAGTGATGTTTAGGTAAGAAGCTACACATTTTCTCTGTATTTGTTATGTTCTGAAGTGTATCTGATGTTGACCTTTTTTAAAGCGCAGTCATAAATCAATGATAAAAAAGATAATGTTATTTCAAAGGTGAGGATGCAGAATTATACTATCATTGGTAGCTGAAAACCAAATCAAACTGGCCAAAACATGACTTCTGCAGAAGTGTCCTGAGCAGATTCAGACCTTGTTCTGTCAGGTGACCTGACAAAGGAGTCACAGTTTGTAAGCATTTATGACTGTTCTGGTTAATCTTAAACCTTTGATCCAATACCCTCTTTTCCCAAGCCAGGTTCTTCTCTTTTCCATATGTTTGTATGCTTTTGTCTATGATTCAAAGGAAATTTTCATGTCATCTTGCAGACCGTCAGCTCCACAAGTTGTTTTTTTTTCTTTCACACCTGTATTTTTTCATAAGTCAATGAAATAAAATAAAATAAAATAAATAAGAAAGCTGCAGTTTTACATGCAGTGAGCATGAGGTAGAAATGAGGTAGGAAGAATCAACCAATGAAAAGCCCAAGGCTGTTTGTCATGGAGTATTATTCACTTGCTCTGCATATGTGACACACATCAACTCCTTTTTTAACACACAACACTATTAAGTATTAAACAGGACCATCTGTCAAACACATGTTTGTTATTCATGAAAAGTCTAAATGCTTTACTTCAACTTCGAAGAATAGATACATATTTTATTATTTTTGTATGTGAAGCCTTTGAATAGCCCCTACATTTGATCTTTCCCTATTCCACACGGCTCTCCCTACATGTGATAAAGCACATATAGTCCTACTGTACTCAGAAGTTGGACATGATTGCACATCACGTCATCTACAAATACATCTGCTACTAATATTCCATATAGCATTATGCTAACAACGTGAATAAAACAGTCTAATTTTCTCCAATATGTTCATTGCCTTCAGGAATTGGTTAGGAAATCTATATTACCGTTCCAAATCTCGTACTGTAAAGCAACATATTAATTTTGACTTTCTGCCAATTGGATAGTTGTTTGGAAAAATAAATGCGGTGAAGAGTTGGGGTCAAGGAAAATGGATATGAACAGTGTCGACTTTATCTTTATGTTTTGACTGATGTTTGCAATGTTGAAACTGTTGAAAAAGGTGAGGGTTTGGCTGCTTTACCAAACTAATGAGCGTGACCAAACTAAAGAGACGTATTTTTTGCTCATGTTGGTTAAATGTGCCGGGATTCATTCATATGAGCACCGCTGACCATTTTGTTTGTCTGATTTACAAGTATTGTCTGGAGTAGGCTACAAGTAATAGTGTATATGATGCCACACTAAATGGAAAAAAACAAAGGCACATAAAATGACCTTATGCATCAGAGAAACAAGTGTAATGCCATCTTTAGAATTTTGTCTTTAAACTTCCTTTTTGTGGTAGCTCTATAGACCAATTCAGAGTAGACGTCACAGTTACATCACTTGCAGAAAAACACTGGGAACAAGTGGAGATAAATGGAAGGATTTGGAATTCTATATTAACAGGAAAATAGAGTGTATGATAGAAATTAGTATATTTGATGTACTTTTTTATACAGAAAACGAAAATTTGAATTGTAAAGAACAACATATTATACATTTGTTTATTTTGTTAGGAAAATTCCATATACATAAGAAGAAGTGGGCTCAATGTAAACCAAATTTTGTACCCTATCCGTGAAATTCTCTAGCCGTAAAGGCTATCTCTCCCGGGTTTTCTGCAACCATGATGCGCGCGCATCCTGAATGTTTACAAACCTATAATTGGTCTATTGCATAGCTGTGTAAGAGTAGCCTAATTAGCTAGTGAAGTGGATTTACGTAGGCCTATTTAAGAGTTAACGAAAGTTATCATGATGGGCATTGTAATGTTCGAAGCAGATGTCATAACAACAATGTCATTCTTAATTCGTACGAGCTTACCTTCAGGCTGTGAAAATACAAACGTAGACAGAAGACAACGAGCAGCGCTAAAAAGGGGCGGAGCTACAATTCTAAACAATTCAAACGTTTTTTTTTACGTGAAGATCATTTAAAAAATCTAAGAAAAAGAGAAACAAATAAATCTAAAACTAATATTTTTCCATTATAAAGAACCTTTTGTGGAATTCATGGAACCACAGATGCCAACAAAGAACCTTTTAAGAGTGTCACTAAAAAGCAATTGAGCTGTTTTGTTGTGAGATAAATAAGCCCAATTGGGTCCCAGTTGGCTTTCTTTCTCGCTCTAAAAAGTCTTCATTGCGTATGATGTTGTGTTAATTTGCATATGCACCGAATTAATTGTGTGTTCTGTTGCACTGAAGCCTTAGAGAAGAAAATGTGTTTTGTTCTTAACTTGTTTGCTATGTTTGGGAAATATCACATTCATAAAATTTCGATGGGCCAAAAGTACACCTAGTTTTGTGCAATTTAAGTTTGAGCTTTGTCAAGTGCTAAGGCCAAAAAGACTATGGATTGTTGTAAAGCCTTGAAATGTTATCCTTTTTAAGGATTATCATATTTATTTTGTAATTATTGATAAGGGCTTGTTTCAATACCCCTCTGTATATAGTTCTTCATTTGTGTGTTGTTTATTAAGCAGTTTTTTTGTTTTGTTTATTATTATTTTTTATATTTTTATTGATTTCTTGCTGTTATTATTTTTACACATGGCGTGTGAGTAGTTACTAGATAAAGTAAAAAATATATATATAAAAAAAAAAGAAAAAAGGTTGTGTTGTAGTGGGTGGGTTGTGAAGCTGTGTATGGTTGTCATAGCGGCGCTGTTCCTCCCCTGAAGCAAGCGCTGCTGGGAGTTGCTCCTCCTCACTCGACAGCACTAGTTTTATTTAAAGAGTGAATGAGGAGAGCGCAGTTTTTCTGCTGTGGATACTGTTTGAATCAAATATGTCTCACACTGTGACTCTCACCGGTCCCTCGCCGTGGGGTTTTCGTCTGGTGGGCGGACGGGACTTCAGCGCACCGCTCACCATTTCAAGAGTACGTCTTTTCTTATTCTTCTCTTTAATGATGAACTTTTTTTTTTACAATGCAACGGAGGCGAGGGCCTCTTTACACCCGGCGTGCTATTTCACTGTAAAGATGTAACATAACATTTTTGGTTTACATCTCTAAAGATAGATGAACTACTTCACAACTCTTGCTTTGCGTTGTATGTTGTGTCGGTTCTGTTACAGTAGCAAGATAGTGACCGTCTTTGCATTTGCGTCCCACTTTGTAACGAAAATAAGACACTGCAGGTGAATAGGGTAAAAAAAAATAACTAATAGTTATCGCCTTACTTACCGAGCTGATTGGTTACATTGATAATTGCAAAAAAAAAATTGTATTACAAGTTTTCTAAAATTTTAGGTTTAAATATGCACATGAGTCATATTTAATGAAATATGCGCTAATTTGCATAAATGTCTAGTACAAAATCTAAACACTGGATGATGTCTGTTTCAAAATTGTTTAGAACTACAACTATTGTTTAGTTTTTTTGACATATTAGAGTCAAAAGTTTTTTATCTCCTTTTTGTTACTCCATAATTCAGAAAATGCTTAGAACGGACAGAAAACACTATATTTTCACAATTAGTTGGGGAATAAAATGTTGTATATAATCAAGCAAATTCTATATTAAATTTCACATGATTTTGTTGTTCACACCGCTGTGTCAAGCAAACATATTGGTCAGAAGTTGCTCTTTTATGCTCATTAAACTTAAGTTCTTAGTTTGGTTCCATTGAAATATAAACAACGTCATCTTCAAAAATCTCTTCAGAGAAATAAGAGGAGAAACATCAAGAGAGTTGTTGACTTACAGTTTGAGCATATAGCTGTAAAATTAATAGCATCCGTCAGATGATTTGATCTTGGAAGAATCTAAACATTTTTGAGTTCATATTAAGATCTCTTACAATTTGGGCTGAGGAGTTGAGAGATTTAGGAGAAAAATGTAAAAAGCAAGAGACTTAAAGGGAAAGTATACCCAAAAAGGAAAATGATGACAGCATCATTTACTCACTGTAAAGCTATTCCAAACGTGTACGAGTTTCTATCTTCTGCTGAGCACTTAAGGAGATATTTTGAAGAATGTTCATAACCAAACAGCTGACGGTAGCCATTGACTTCCATAGTATAATTTTGCATCAACTTTTTAGTTACCCACTTTCTTCAAGATATCTACTTTTGTGTTCAACTGAAGAAAAAACAGGTTTGGAACAACATGAAGACGAGTAAATACTGACAGAATTTAGATTTTTGGCCAAACTGTCAATTTATGAAGAGATCACATTTAAGATATTTCAGAGATCGCCTTTGTGATTTTCACATTTCTTTGGGCACTGACTTCGATGCTTCTCAAATGAATGAAAAGCTGAATCATGCTGGACAAACCCTATCATTTACTGCATATTTGTGGTCAGTAAATGCTTGTGCCAGAAGAAATCTTATTCAGCTGCCTTCCACTTACATTGCTTTAGAAAAGCGGCAGCTGGTTTTCACCAATTAATATTTACAGCCAGCCGGGGCTTTATCTGTGGTATGAAGTGGTCGTGGATGTTTAGTCTACTCCATCCATCCATCCATCCATCCACCCGTCCAGTGGATGAATGGATGGAGTGAATGTAGGTACAGTTTTCTAGCTGTTGGTTAGAGCTAATAAAAATCCAGATGCAGATCCTATACAAATAAAATAACCCCTAGCCAGAGTAAGAACCTTGCGTTGAATGCTTTTGATGTTGTGCAGGCCAAAGAAACATCTGCAACTTGTAAAGATAGCAGCTTGATCGTACTGAAAGCTGGTGAAAGGCTCATCAGCAGCACAGGTTTGAGCACGAAACTGGTAAAGTAGAGGCTCGGCTTCGGATATTTTGTGTTCACATCCTGTGAAGGTTTCCGTCTGGCACTGGGGATAGATTTCCCAGTAAATGCTGAGATTAATAGGTCAGCCACAGGTTTTGTTACGGAAAGTGTCTGTTAGGGTTGCAGATGTTAAGTTGTCCGTTGGCAATCCAGAATCAGAATGGAAAACCTCCAAATGGAATGAGGTAACAGTTTAAACACAACCCAAGATGCAATTTTAGTAAAATGAGTGTGGACAGCTGATTCGGATAAAGTGGCAGATGCATTGGTAATATGGAGACGTTGTGTTGAAATCTGCAGTTACAATAGCCATAGGGTCTCCACAAACCTTGTTGTAAAATGCTTTCGCTTCTGGGCTAATGAGTTGAACATTTGGTGTTTTCCTGGTGAATGTGAGAGCGGTGAGGTAAAAGCTGACTGAATCACTGCCAAGCGTGCAATACATAACAAATTGTCAGCACTTGTCCAGACTGACAAACGTGGCCATCCATTCACAGGAATTCACAGCCCCGTGTCACACAGAAGGCAGAATTGAGCAATGCTTTCACTACTCTTCACTACAAAAATAACTGAAAAGATCTGAATCTCATTTTCATTCCTATGATAAACCCAAAATTGTCCGAACAGGTTAAGCATGCACCATCTTATAAACATATTTACTCTGTTAATCTTCAGTGTCTGGCTAGTATCCCTTGGGAATTTCACAAGGCTAATTTATTGCATCCAGGGCCTTCCTCTTGTTATTGCTCTGTAAGGGCATGCAGTAATGCTGGCATGCTGCAGCTCATTGTCCACAGCCCTGCATTCGTAGCACAGCCACATTCCAGGAAGCCATGTGACATTATTCAAAAAGTAGCAAATAGGAGATTTTCAAGCACAGGACTCATCAAAGTTCACAATTGTTCAGCGTCATGGGCGTTTTGCCATGCAACACTGTTAAAGTTGAGTGTCTGTTCAAATGCTCTATACAACTGGTCGGTTGCATCTAAAAAAAAAATGAGTCGCTGCTCTATTCTGACAGGGTCATGGACGGTAGGGAAAAAACAATGCTTAATGCTAAGGATTGCCTAATCAAACAATGCTTGTCCAAAAAAACTCGTTATTTCAATGTGAATTCATCTGATGGTAGGTAGAAGCTAGGCAGATGCCAGCACTGACAGGTTGCGTGACGTGCCCCCATCCTTGAAAAACAATACAAAAGAACAAACGTTCAAGAAAATATGTTCCAGTTTACAATAAACACGGGTCGAGTTGCAACAAAGATAAACATGGTTCGGGCTGACCACAACGAAAGCATGATTCACTGTTGCATGGCAAGCATATTCGTAATTTGTTGGGACTTCAGTGTAAAATCTGGATCCTGAAGCTAAACTGGTTTAGAACAGTGGCTCTATACTAAATTGTTTTTTGGAACTTTGTGTCATACTGTGTTTATCACAAATGTAAAGCGTTTGGTCTGGAAGGATAAAAAATAAGCAGTTATACAGTGAAGGCTTGTGAAACATTCAGGATAGGTTGTTGTAAACCGCTTATGACATTGTGGTACTGGGTACCATTTTTGACTCTTTATATCCAATTTTCAGTGAGTGTTCAGTGAACAAAGTACACATTTTCAGCAACCTAGTATACATGGTTTTTCATATTCCCATTATAATCATTAAACATTTTAAGGGATATATAACACATATTTTTATTTTGACAACTAACCCATCCTTTCTCCTCATCATTATCTCTACATTGTCAAGCTCTGATAATGTATTTCCAATGTTTTTCTCTGTAAAGCTAAGGTTTTTGGCCAAAACAAACTTGATTTTTCTTAGATCAATGTGAAAAATTTGCCTTCACACTCTCAGAAAAAACTAAAGCTGTAACTCTGTGGTGGTACTTCTTCAATAGATACACTTTTGTACCTTAGATACTAATATGTACCTTTAAGCTACCAATATGGATTCAAATGTGTACCTTTTGAAAAGGTCCTGCCCTAGTGACAGCTTTTGTATCTTTTTTTCTGAGAGTTCACATCACATAAATTGTTCTCTGTAACTAGTCATTTTCTGAGCAGGGTAAACCAAGATGTTCTAAGATAAAACACCATGTGTCTTAGTGTGACTCAGGACAGTCACACATGGCATTGAAGAAATGGGATGAATTAGTCTTATTAGTAGGTCAGGAGCTTCTGTTTGCAAAATATTTAGGGTTGTGCATATGTGCTTGGCTTATTATAGGCAGTTTGCTGATATAGTCATGTAGTTAATGACATTTAGGTAGGCTATATCCCACTGTAATAACAACAGCCCTCGGTGCTTGAGTCAAGTGTTCTGTACTTAGGAACAATTTCAGGCAATTTCCTGGCTTAACATCCAAAGTGGTCTTTTGTGCATTTGGAGGTCTTTGAATACTTCAACTTAATTGTATCTACAGTGTGTATTTATAATGGATCTTTAACAATAGTGATTATCTCAGTATCAAATTATTTTAGCTTATTTTTATTTCATTTTACTAGGGCTGGGCAATATGGCCAAAAATATTATCACAATGTTTTTTTTTTCTCCATATCATACGATATCAGTATTCATCACAATAGTCGTTTACCATTAAAGGGGAAGGAAATGCTTTCCACATGTTTGTTAGACCTTTAGATTGAATGTAAAGATATTTTGTTTGTTCACAATTATGATTTAATACAAATTTATCATAAAAACAATGGTGTCTACTTAAATTCATAAAACTTTATCAGTTTAATCAGTCTTTTAAAATGTAATGAAATGAAGACATAATTTACAACAAAACGTTGCATCTTTATCAAATAATATGCTGTACTGTATAATTGTGTAAATAAAAAATGCCATGGTTGTATGATATTCCTTAAAATTATTATTATTATTATTATTATTATTATTACTTGAAAATACATTTTAGTATAGAATAGTAATATATTTCTGTCATAAATTCTTCAAGTTAAACTGGACTTTTATTTTGACAGGTTGTTGTGAAGGTCTTTCAGTTTCAGTGTGGTAGTTTTTCCCTAATAAAATGGTTAGCCTATTAGTGAGAAGCACTGACTGGCTGTTGTCATAAATTTGATCGAGACTCAGTATGATATCATTTTATCGCCCAGCCGTAATTTTTACTATGCCAGGTTACAGAAGCAATTAACATTTTGCTGTAGATCAGAATGTTTTTTGATACCTGATTTCTACATGCATCCATTTTTTAAACAACTTGTCATTGTGGTAAGTGATTTCTACATGTAATGCTCTATTGTGAAACACTTCTTTTAACAAAGTAGAGTATAGATTTATAATATCAACCTTATATGACAGTTCCTTACTAACATAAAATGTATATCTAATGGTTAAAATAGCTATTTGCATTGCATCGCTAAGTATATTTTGATCCAGAGATCAAAAAATGGTGGCTGCTGTAAAACCTAATGACCAGTTTTATCCCCACAAACTGAACAGATAACCGATTTTAGTTTGTGAGATCTCAAAGCCAGTGACTGCTGGCAGGATGAGTGATAAGGGTACGTGAGATGATATAATTACTGAAAATTGTTGTCATGTGTAGAGAACACGAGCAGCTGAAGTCTAACACATAAATGCTTTTTTGAAAGAATTTAGCCATTGTTTACTGTAATTGTTTAAAATACTTTAAAAAAAAAGAATGTTCGGTTCTTGCTTCTCATGAAAACTGCTTGTCATTAAAACCATATCTAGATATATATTTATCAATAAAATCAAAAGAAAAAAACAGAAACTTGGTTTTACATAGTTTCAATTATATGCCTTTTTATTTTTTTGAATAATTTTTATTACAAAGATCTTTGGCATTATGATGTTCCTTTTATGACTCATTATTTCCTTTTCTATTGTCAGAAAAAAAAAGTCTCTCATTACTGTAAGTAAAAGAAGAAAAAAAATCCAACATAGGCTCATTGGAAAAACTTACCCATACTTACAATTCACTGCAGTTTCCAGCTGAAATGGCAGTAAAACACCTTTTAATCGTTTTAATCTTTTTAACACAACTTTTAATCCTTTCCACACAAATTATGGTTAATTGATTAATAAAGACTTTTTCCTTGCACAGTACTCTTATAATCTCAGAACACTTTTAGTGTACAATATAGTGCAGGGTACCAAAACATTTTTTGTCAGCAGATCCCCTTATAAGTAAAATATTTACTTGATATATCCTCTGGGATTTTAGGTTAATATTTTAATAATTTAATGACACATTGAGTCCTCTAAAGAAAGTTAAATTGTCACATGACATGCAAGTAAACAGATAAAATATTTAATCTTTTTTTTTTTTGTGCAAATTTTGTTATTATTTTATAAAATATTTAAATAAAAATTACTATTAGTGGTAGTAGCAGTAGTAGTAGTAATACTAACTGTAATAAACTGTTGCCATGTTGCCAGTAATAAACTGTCAACATGGAATGTAAGGACTCTCCTGGACTTGCATGGTTCCTCTGACAGACCTCACCGGAGAACAGCCCTGATCGCTGCTGAGTTGAGCCGTTACAACATCGATATTGCAGCCCTGTTTGAGACCAGGCTTCTGGATGAAGGTTCTCTAACAGAGGAAGGGACGGGTTACACCTTCTTCTGGAAAGGTTTCCCTCCAGGTGGACAACATCTCTATGGAGTAGGATTTGCCATCAAGAATACCATTCTACCAAGTCTCACAGAAATACCTGTTGGCATTAGTGAAAGGCTAATGACCCTCCGTATCCCCCTGGCAAAAAAGCGTTATGCCACACTTCTCAGTGCCTATGCACCAACTTTACCATCTGAGAATGAGGCCAAGGAATGCTTTTATCAGGCACTGGATGAAGCTCTTTGCCGGATCCCTAAGAGTGACAAGATCCTCTTGCTTGGGGATTTCAATGCTAGGGTCGGACAAAACAACACAATATGGAGTGGAGTACTAGGCAGGCATGGCATTGGTAGGGTGAATGCAAATGGTATGAGATTATTGACTCTTTGCTCTGAGCATAACCTCACCATAACCAATACCATCTTCCAGCAGAAGGCAAAGTATAAGACCTCGTGGATGCACCCTCGCTCTAAACACTGGCACATGATTGATTTTATCATTGTGCGGTGTAGTGACATCAAGGATGTTCTCATCACTCGTGCCATGAGAGGTGCAGAGTGCTGGACAGACCATCGTATGATTGTGGCCAAGCTCCATATGAAAGTGCGCCCCCCCCCTGCGGCTGCAAAAGCCCAACAAAAAGAAGCTAAATTGTAACCGTTTGATTACATACATATGCCCCACCTGTAATCGAGTGTGTGGATCCAGGATAGGACTGTTTAGCCATCAAAGATCTCACCGATAAAGGCGTGGACGTCGTCATCGGATTCGATGGACAACCGAGAGAGTAATAGTAGTAGTAGTAGAATGTTTTAATACTAATAATAAAACCGTAAAATAAGTAAAATCGAAATAAAGTAAAAATGCAAAGTAAAAATTAAACATTTGATAATATTTACAACAATTTTATTTTACACTACAATACTAATGTTAATGTCTAAATTTCTTCACTTTCAAATATTCAAACCATCAAGCTTATAACAATTCAAATCCTTTAGCTTTTGTTTTGGCAGAATATTGGTGAAGTTCTGTTCACAAAAAAAAATATTGAAATCATGCATGAATCATGTAAATAAAGAGAACATGGTGCTTGCAATGCCAAGGTCATTGGTTTCATTCCCAGGTAATGCATAATATTCTTACACAGTACTTGCAGTACATTATTAATGCAAATTTTAATAATAAAAAATGTTTTGACAAGATGTTTTTAATTGCTGAGTGGTAATGAAAATTAGTGTTCTTTTCACAGTGCAATAACAATGTTGTGAATTATTTATGTATTTATTTATTGATTGATTGATGTTAGCAAAATAAGTTTTTCCCCACATTAAAGTAATGAGAATTTAAGGGGAAATTTGGATCATTGTGCAATTTTTTTCCCCCTTTTTTGGGATGAAATTAATCATTTCTTTGTGAGATTTATGCTAAGCATAAATAATCTTGAATAATGATAGGCAAGTCTTGCAACTCATAGAGTCAAAAAAGCAAACTAATCAGAGCTACAGTACCTATGCCTCATAAGCGTGGATGCGTCACATTGAATAGTCATTACATTTCACTTTAGTCAAGTGAGTGACTGATCAACTGTCATTGGTCTAGTTGTCGGCTTTGTCTCACTGATGGTTTCCAGTCAGTCAGTAATAGTACCTGGCAGGCGCTGCAGTGTCTTGGGTGTGGTGCTTCCTTAACCTTTCTTTTGTTTGTCTTTTGTTAGATAACACCTGCGAGTAAAGCAGCGCTGGCCGATTTGTGCCCTGGAGACACCATCCTAGCCATCAATGGAGAAAGTACAGAGACCATGACACACATGGAGGCTCAGAACCGCATTAAAGCCTGCACAGATCAGCTCGTGTTGGCCATCAGCAGGTAATCTGCCTTACTGTCCATACATTCACATGGAGGTACAAGAGCTGTCACTGGGGCGGTACCTTGTGTACACTTTTGTGCTTTATTAACCCCTGAATGGTGTATATTAGTATCTAAAGTGTACATTTTAGTACCTAGATGGAATATCGTAGTACCTTTTGAAAGGATACTGCCATAGTGGCAGCTTTTGTATTACTCACCCTCATGTTGTTCCAAACCTGTGAGACCTTCGATCATCTTCGGAACACAAATCCGAGAGTTTTCTGACTCTCCATAGACAGCAAGGCTACTACCACGGTCAAGGCACAGAAACGTAGTAAGGACATCGATAAAATAGTCCATGTGACATCAGTGGTTCAACCGTAATTTTATGAAGCTATGAGAATACTTTTTGTGCGCAAAGAAAACAGAAATAACGACTTTATTCAATGATTTCGTCTCTTCCGGGTCAGTCTGCCGCCATTCACGACAGTAACACGACGCATGCGTGTGATGCAGGTCTGACGTGGAACATGCATGCAAATGGTGGTGGAGACTGACCCGAAAGAGAATAAATTGTTGAATAAAGTCGTTATTTTTGTATGAGACTACAGATATAAACGTCTAGTATTTTATGTACAATAAGCAAATTAATTGCAACATAAAGGGGGAAAAAAGTGGAGATAAGGTTAGAAAGCATGAAGCTTGCGAATGCCAGAATGTCAGTCTGTCAGTCAAGTCCAAAGCAAGACGCAACACATTATGACAACAACATTTAAGATAGTCTGACGGCAGATGAAAGTAAACGGTAAATAAATGACTTTTGAGTGATTCGTTACTAAAGTGTGCATCAAATACGCTAAACATGGAAGCTTGAACGTGTGTGAGGTGCTAGAACAGATCTCATTGGTTCTTATGCGTCATGCATGGCGGTTGGCAAAGCTTCTGGAAGGTGCATACCGCCACCTACTGCAAGACCCCGGCATGACAGCTGATGTAAAATAACGATCAGACTTAGGAGAGCCGATACCGATCAGTTTAAAAAATGCTTAATCGGTTCGGGACATCCCTATAATATACACGCCGTGGTTCAGCTGCGAGCTACAAACACTACCAGTGTAAAAGAACAATGAGCATGCGCTGTTTCCGCTCTGCTTACGCATCCAGTATGAAACGGCCACTTTTCATTGATTTTCACATCTCATTTTAATCGTGACAGTCGTAATAAATTATGTTTAATTGTTCAACCCCCTTATCTTGAGCTTGAGGGGTAATTTTGTTCATTTATTTGGTGCATTTATGCCCCAAGCCCCTGTACAATTCTGACCCTGCTCTATAGTCAATTCTGTGTTGACAGAACAGAAACAAACTTATGTGCTGATTTTTGTGTCCATTTTTATTCAACCACAGGAAACATTGAACATCATTCTCCTTAATGTGATAAAAGACAATCCTTTTCACACCAACAGAATTTTGTGTGTGAGTGTGAGATTAACCCAGAGGCATCATATGCTACATCATGCCATATTTGGTGTGTGTTCTCAGAGCGAGCTGCTCTTGTTATTTGGAAAAGCCCTGAACTCTTGTTAGACCTGCTCATATATCATCTTTCGACATTAAGTGGTACATTCACATAGGAGTAGTAAATTTATTTAAGGATACTCTGGGTTGTTTATACTCAGCATTCGACTGGGAACTTTAGAGACTCCTTTAGTTTTCCTCCACAGCTGATCACATTTCAAAACCTTCAGCCTAGCTTTTTTCACACCAGTAAATCTACATGACTAGAGTAACAACAGAATTCTACATTGTGTCAACATCTGATCTCTGCTGTCTTCATAGGTGTTTTTTATGGCCTGCATAGATGGCCCTGTGAAGGTCACGTGACAGCATTGTAAATGCAAAAACATGGCCCCCCCCCGTATCTATTGGTATGTGACCTTTAGCATATGCCAGTGAGTCATTTGTATTAGTCTGTGCTTTTGAAATGAGATGTGCGCTGGCACGATAAGCACCGTTTCATTCCAGTGTACATGGATGTACTGGAGCAGGGCGGGGAAACTGATTACAGACTGCAGATTCTGTTTTCCGTGTGTTTGGATGGAAATACCTAAAACATGCCACCCAGAATCATATTGAATTATATTCTTCTTGAGACTTTGTATTAAACATATATTCAAAATCAAAATCAAAAACAATAACGTTATGTTATTCAAATATTATGCACATTTGTGGAAACTGTATAGAACTACTGTAGGGGTTTGTGTCACACTATTATGATTAGATGGAAGAAATCAAGCAAATCATATGTTAGTTGCTGTTTCAGTTGGGAGATGCATAGATGATAAATAAATTTTAAAAAATGAGTGACACATTATAAATAAGCCAATTCAGGTGTAACCAAAGAATGTGCTGCCACTTCGAAAAACAAAACTTCTACTGTATAACCCGTGTTAAAAAGCAGGTTCTACCAGTTAAATCAAATGTGCATGTCAGTTTAGATTCAAGAATAAGATTTAAGATTCAGGAGAAATCAATACTGGATTATTCACAGTAAACTGTGTCATTTGTGCCAAAGGGAAGTTTTTTTTTTACTTTCAAGAAATCATATTTTCCCACCAGGGTTACAACTGCCATATACCACCATATACAGTATATGTGCCCCCCATAACATTTAGAGTACAAGTCAACAAATATGAGTTTTTCAGTGGTTGGTTGTTAAACTACTGCCTATAATGCTAAAATGTGGTTATAACCTGGTCAAGTATCAACAGTTTTTATTATAACTATCCCCTATGTTATTTTAGCCCTGTCACAGCAAGACTGGAATTTATGTGCTTATGGAGTGAATTGAGTAAATAACTGATTACACTGTGGTAGTATTACAATCAGTGTTGGGGGTAACGCATTAAATGTAACGTGAGTTACGTAATCAGATTACTTTTTTTCAAGTAACTAGTAAAGTAACACCTTACTTTTAAATTTACAAAGAAATAATCTGACAAAGAATACAAAGAATAATCTGTTTTCACATTTATTTACTGACACCTCTCCTGTCCCTGTGTTGAGAGAAATTGGGAGTGAGGTGCAGAGGCAGAAAGTCTTCCTTCAGCCGGAGGCTTATTAATTTCACTTTTGGTGTGAAAGGGCCTTTACAGTCACCAAAAATACAACTTTTGGGTCTTTTTTGTTATTAAAAAACAAATAAGCAAGCCTAGCCCAGGTGACAAAAAGTAACCCAAAACTTATGTAATGCATTACTTTCCATAAAAAGTAACTAAGTATTGTGATTAGTTACTTTTTTATGGAGTAATGCAATATTGTAATGCATTGCTTTTAAAAGTAACTTTCCCCAACACTGATTACAATTATAAATTTTTGGTAATTCAAAATGTACATGGTTGAGCATTATGGGGATGAACTTCTGCGTAAAATAGCTTCACATTATCGACAGTCATGCAGTCTTCTTGCTTTTTATTTGTGCTGGTGGTGATGAAATGGGGACCCGTAAATAATATTCAGATGAAAAATAAATAAATCTTTAAAAAAGTTTAACGTTACATACTTAACAGTCACATATTTGAAATAATGTGATTAAATTTAATCAGTGTGACATACACCACATACACATGGCTCTGTTTATAATAATTACTACCGTAATAAGTAATTGATTTATGCCACATGATGTTTGCTTTACAGTATTTGTTCAGCCATAAATTCTAAAACAGAGGAATTTGTTGTCCAAACATGTCAGTGTTTGAGGAATGAGGCTGGAAATAACACGCATATGCTGACTGTGTAAAATTAGAGCATCGCATTACAGCCAAAATGACCAGGAAAGCATGGGATTCTGAAGTAGAAGAGCATCCAGTACTTACATAAACATATTTGGTCGCTGACTAAAGCAATTCCAGAAACCATTGTCTGGATGAGGTCATATATTCAGCTCTTTTGTTTTCAAGGGTCACATCATGATTGATCTCTCAGTGATGCAGGTTAGTAAAGGTCATGACACACCAAGCTTATGGCCTGCATCTGGGCCAAAAAGTTGCACTTGAACACGTTGCAAAGACTACACCTAATGGCCAACTTACATATGGTCTGCGTCGGTATGCGAGGACTCCATGTGCAAGATAACTCTCCATACCTCCAGGTGGCAGTAGTCTGTATTCAGCATTCAAAAAGGGAAACTAAAGCTAGAACATTTGAATATGAATCATAACCAAACAGTCTTCACTTTCTGAAGTTCTGTCATCATTTACTCAACCTCAGGTTGTTCCAAACCTGTATGACTTTCTTTCTTCTGCTGAACATAAAAAGAAGATATATTGAAGAATGTTGGTAACCAAACAGTTGACGGTGTCCATTGACTTCCATAGTATTTTTTCATACTATGGAAGTCATTGGCTACCATCCGCTGTTTGACTACCAACATTCTTCAAACCAGCTTGGTATTGTTACAATGTCAGTAGCAGTTTTGGGGAAAGTTACTTTTAAATGTAATGCCTTACAATGTTGCGTTACTTAAATGAATAAGGTCCAGCCTGAATTAAGTGCCTCTGCCTCTGCATTTACTTCCAATTTCTCTCAACATGTGAACAGGAGAGCTGTCCGTCAATAAATGGGAAAACAAAATAACTTGTGTTACTTATTTGAAAAAGTAATTTTCTTGCAAATTTGAAAGTAATGTGTTACTGTACTACTTTACTTGGAAAAAGTCATCTGATTATGTAACTCGTGTTTACTTGTAACGCAATACCCCCTAATACTGATATACTAGAATGCAGTGTGATGTGAATGAACATTTCTGTTAACATCACCCAGATATCCCTCAGCAAAAGGGCTTTTGTGAAAACTACAGATCGTGCTTCCGGATTTTTGTCTCCGCATTCACAAACCGTCGGATCGAGCCCAGTGCATTATGGGTGTTGAAGTTTTCCTACCTTTTAGTCAAATAGGAACAGCCTCTTTTCTCAGATTTGTCTAGTCATTATATATTTTAATAATTTTTCTACTGTATAGACAGCCAATGTATTATAAAATGGCCAGGGTTGCCAGTGGTGAATTTCCCCTCATTCTTCTGTTTCTGACTGCAACATTTCGTGGTGCCATGTCTGGTTACTGGATGTACCGGATGTGTTCCCGGTTAACCTCTGAGTCAGCGCTGGACAAAAAGGTTGAATGTGTCATACAAACGCACCCTGGCGTATCCTTGAGCCACTGTGAAGGCAGAGAACAGCTGCTGGGAATCTCTCCGTATCTCTCTAGCCTCCTCCTTCCTCTTTAAGGAAAGTTGCAGTCTGGAAAATGCGGAGAGTGTGGATGACAAAGATTTGTTTCCACAAGTCATGAAGCTGTCGGAAAGAGCCTGCTGGGCCAGCGACTTAAAGCCGAGTGAGTCATAAGACCTGGGTCATGAAAGTGCAGGGGAGCGGAGAAAATAAAAAAGAGGAATTAAGGCACAGAGAAAACAGGGCAGGACTTAGCGCTTAGCGGACAATGACGCACGAATGAAGAATTGAGTGTGGATTTGAAAGCTTAGAGGAGGAAACAAAGAGAGGGAAGAGCTACGTTTGCCATTCCTTGACAGTTGAAAAGGGAATTTCAAAGGACGGGTGATGTCTTCGAAGAGAAGCCCTCGTTAGAGTTTGAAATGAAAATATAGTTTCGAAATTCAAACTGGTTTTGCTGTTGGTTAAACAAACAGGACGTCCCGACCAAAGACACACTGGTGGTTGAGCCAAAAGTTGACATGCTAGGACATCCTGCTTTTTTCTTTTAGCAGCCTTGTATTGTGGTACTTTTTTCCAAGAAACACAATTTTTTTATTAATATGATACTAGAGCAGGAATGCACACTGTCCTGCAGATTTTATCTCCATCCCTTATTAAACATGGCCAGTCCCAGCAAGGTAGGTTTTAGATTAGTTGGGTTTTAGGGTATTTAGGGTTATATTATGAGTAAGAGATTGCAAACCGAAACTGGAACAGTCAGCTGTCAGCAAAGTGACACATCTCTGATGCAATGCAGTTACTCCCCAGTTTCTCTCGCTCCAAATTAGCAGTTTACAACAAAAGAGCTTGCCAACAGCAAAATTGATGCTGTTGGCCTTTAGCGATGCTTATTTATTACACCCTCAGTCCATTACACGATTATAGTTAAAGGGGTCATATGATGCGATTTCATTTTTTCCTTTCTCTATTAGGCGTTTAGTTTAAATACTTTTAAATCAGATATTATATAAGATAAATAACCTCAATATGTAAATCTGTCTATATATATATTTTAAGAGTTTATTTGCAAAAACAGATTAAAAAAATTTATGCTGTCATGGTTTTATTGTGTTTTATTGTGTTAGTTAGCTGTATTTTCATGTTTCATTAAATCATCATGTTTTGAAGGGGAAAAAAAGGTCAATATTTTCAGATCTGTCAGGTGTTCTAATCATTTTGGCCACCACTGTACAACTGTTCATTGTTAGTCCATGTTATCTCAGGTCCATTAAATATCATTAACTTTTGATTTTAATAATGTATTTGTAAATGTTGTAATCAACATTAACTAGATTAATAAATGCTTTATGTCATCTAATATAGTTAACCACATGCTTCAGGGCAGAACGGTTGTCTTTGTAGAACAGACTCCTAAAATGTAACATGTAAGAATAATTCTGTTCCTGTTTCAATGAATGAGGCCCAAACAACTTGAAATAATTGAACAGTGCTCAGATACAAATACATACACTATACAAATGTAAATAAGCGTCTGTTTTGTATTACTGGGGCACAGCAAAGTACAAATGCTCACTGATCATACCGCAAGGGTCTTATGAGAAATGACATGACAAATTGGAAACTGTATTTGAACAGTTCATCGCTATGTTTTCTGGAAACATCTGTGCATTAGTCACCTTCCTGAAAATGGAAATGAAACCAAACAGCAAAGCCAAAGCAAACCCTCTACTATTGCACCTCAGTTACTCATTCAAGGAATCCCAACCAGAAGGAAAATATGATAGACAGGAACGTTTTATTTTAGCAACAGTGCTGAGACACCCACTTATAACATGAGCTAATGGGATGACCTGGTTCTTTTTTGTATTTCTACTGTATATAGTGCTTTTGAGCTGCTAATCTCACTCTAAACCTAACCCTAACACTATTTCTTAGAAGTATATACAATATAAAGAAAAATGCAAACAAATCATGGTGATTACACCTAAGTTTATTGCTAAAATGTCAAAAAGCAGTGCCAAAGTAGTCCAAATAACAATGTGAAAAGTAATGGTTAAACAATTACATAAATGTTATTCCTTTTAAGGTTTTGAAGTGTAGTCTGGTTTAACATTATGCAATTATTTTATACCATTTCATTCTGTTCTGCCAATTTGTAATCATTTCAAATTAAAGGGGTCATATGATGCAATTTCATTTTTTCCTTCCTCTTTGGAGTGTTACAAGCTCTTGGTGCATAAAGAAGATCTGTAAAGTTGCAAAGACTAAAGTCTCAAATCCAAAGAGATATTCTTTATAAAAGTTAAGAGTTAGCCACACCTACCTAAAACGGCTCGTTCTAACACGCCCCCACATATCTACCTCACTATGTGGGAAGATTTACATAACGCCGCCCAAATGTTCACGCAAAAAAAGAAGGCGTAACTTTTATTCTCGATGTAGTTTTGTTGTTTCCGCCGCCATGTCATAAAGATGCTGTGTGCTTCGTTGTGAAAGCGAAACTACTTTGTTTGATCTTCCAAAAGAGGACGATATCCGCTCCGACATGCCTAGAGCTGATCCGTGCTGGTCGCTGAGGAAATACATCAACTGCACGCTGTGGATCGCCGGATCGGCTTTCACCGAGGACAAAGCGGAGTCCAGCCCG